AAATTAAAAAAAATTGCTTAACCAAAAAAATTGTAAAAAAATTAAAACTGCCATAAAGCTACAATTAGGTACTAAATCAAATAAAATCAATTTTTAGATGTATGTAAATGATAAAATATAAACACAGACGGGAGAAAGTGTGTAAAAAATCTGCATAAAAAGAAAAAATATAAAAAAATGTAATTTTAGCTTGAATTAATAGAATGAAACTTGCTTTCGCTGAATAATTAAATTCTGATTATTGAAAAAATGAGCAAAAAACTGAAAAATAAATAATTATTAGCTATTTGCAAAAAATTACAGAAGATTTCGTATAGAAAATTAACCCCAATTTCACAATTTTATTCATCGAAAATGTCACAACCAAAGTCTCAAAACCACATTTTGCATATTATAGATCATACTCTCACTCTATGAATATGTAACAAATTGCAAATTTATTTAAATTAATGACACGTTTAATTATTATGTTTATGTCAAACATAACGTTTTTATTCAAATATTTACATTAATAATACGACCATGCGACCGCAACATTTATTTATTTACTCTTCTCTAATCTAGTGTGTTATTTTACAAACAGCTGAAGGCGCAACACACTAGATGACCTATTATTATTATTGCTGCTACTTCTTCCCAACTCTTATAATTCCGAGAGCAATTTTGGTAATTATTCCATGTGAAGCCTCCAGGGGTACCAACAACACTCGCAAAATTGTAAAATTTTCGAAATATTTAGACCTTGTTAAAAAATTTTGGATTTGAATCATCAAAGTTATTCAATTTTAGATGAAATAAATTTAATTTGTATTTACAAAAAGAATATAACACAACTGTGAAAAAAAAATTGGCGTTTTTTCAGTGTGAAATATTTCCATGGCAAACTATGCAAAACCACCATGGATAGCATTGAATTTCTTTAATTGTAAAAAAGTCAAAATAACTTGAAAATCATCAAATTTAGGTATAGGGAATGTTGATACAGATCGATGCAGAATTAAATTCTCTTTCATTTAGTCAAGAAAAAATTGGGAGCTTCCATTTGAAAAAATTGAATTACGAGTATTTGAAGTTTCCCAAATTTTGGAGGTTTGATAATTATTTTTCCAATTATAAATAGACGAAAGAAAAGATCTAAGCTTTCTTTTTCATATACCCAAACACGATTTCAAAATAATTAAAAATGGTAAAGTAAGATTAAAAAAATTTCAAAAAAGTGTAAATATTTCAAAAACGGTTAAATTTAGGTAACTTTTTCAGAATTACTTGAGTAATCCAAAAACGCAATAAAAAACATAACTTTCTATTTAAAATAACCCATTGCCATCTTGAAAATATTTTTATGAAGCACGATCTAAACGATTATGGCTATAATCAAATTTTTAGATAAATATCACAGTTAGAACTTCCTATACATCTAGTTGGTGTTATTTTTTGATGTAGAATATGTGGTTGAAATTTTTGGCAATTTTATGAAAACACCCTGTATAGTAATTGTTTTGAGTTATTTTTAGGTGTGAATTTTTCCAGCCTCAGCAACAATAAGACAGTTATATAACGTGTCTTTGGTGATTTTTGCGTCGTCTCATTGAACAATAAAC